TTTTTTTTTTTTTTTTTTTTTTTTTTTTGGTACTGGGGATCGAACTCAGGTCCTTGCGCTTGTGAGACAGGCAGCTGCACCACTGAGCTAAATCTCCAGCCCTTGCTTGCATATTTCTAAAGAATGCAATCCCTGTTGGGCATGGTGGGGCACGCCTGTAATCCCAGCACTCCGGAGGCTGAGGCTGGAGGATCGCTGTGAGTTTGAGACCAGCCTTGGTTTCTTTAGCTTTTTCTATATTTAGAAACAACAGCAACAACAACAACAACAACAACAACCACAACCCTGAAACCGGTTATAAGTAGAAGAATGGACAAAATGTTAAGAAATACCTTCCTACCAAATATTGCCCGGTGACATTCTGTACAGAATTCACTCTGTTCAGTGAGTCCGATCCACTTGGGAGAATTTGGTAGGTTCAAAACAGTTCCTTCTAGCCACAAGGGTTTTCCCAACTTTTCTTAAATTCCCATTCCAAGCCCAGATGTATTTGTGAGGCATATATTCTGATAAAAAATTAAGGGTGATTTTTTTATGCTAAACTCAATGTTAACCACCTCCTCAGAGTCATTGCAACTTTTTCTTCCCTGATGTCTGAAAGACAAAATCGGTTGCTTTTTAGTGGCTGCTTAATTTCCTTCTATATTATGTCAAGCTTTCTGAAATTCCAAGTAAATTATATTTGCTCTGGTAGGTTGCCTTTCCAGATCATTTTTAATGATTCATAGGGATTGGTTTTCCTCAAATAAGATTAGCAACCAACTTTATTTGATAAAGTTAAAATAGATGTTTCATTAGTTTCCTTGGAACTGAAAATAGGCCTAACTAGTTTAAATGGCAGAGAGTTCAGAAGTTTTAATCTTAAATTACACTGTTAATCTGAGAAACATGAAAAAGAAAGTTGTAAAAATAAGCCACTGTCGACTACAACCGTGGATAAGTTTCTCTTTTGATGATTCAGTAATTCCTGGGTTGTTGGTGGGTGGGTTATAGGATGGCTCCATTACTTATCATTAACATATGATTAATTGGATTCTAAAATTAGATTTTAATAGTCAAATCTCAAAACTATCAATGGAAGCTACCACTACATATATGATTCTTTAATTTTCCCAAAAGTACCTAAATTCTTAACTGACATGATTATTTCTTAGCTGAGCTGGTTTTGATTTTCAGGTTGAGATAACCTAATATCTACTACACCATATTGATTTTCTACAGACTGGACAGTATTTTTCTTTTAATTGCAAGTCATAAAGCATCTATAATTTATTGCTTCGAGGTACTCAAATGATATCAAAGCTTTGTCATAAATGCTCGGGCCCTGGGTCTTAGAGCCAGATCTGCCATGTCAGCCCATAGGATGAATTAAACTTTGTATACATCTCCAGATACTTCAGGGAAACACTTTATCTTGGTTGTGCAGGAATTAATAGCTTCATATGCTCACCTCCAACCAAAAACATTTAGAAGGTATGTGCATATTGCTAACCTCCTACCTGTAACTCCTTAGTACCTTAAAGTGAATGTGCTGTAAATAACAACCATTCACTTGTCATTTACTATTCTGTAAAACAGAAGACAGAGGCCAGAGACCTGAGGCTGCAGTAGAAGCAGAGTTCTTCCTTCCCCAATCTCACATTATTCTAAGTTGCCATTATAGACAGTGAAACATACTTATGTGACTCAAGTGTGACTTAATTCTGAAATACATTGGGTCCTAGATGGCTTAAAGGCTGTCCTGACCAATCATATTTACTTCTGCTTACAGCAGTTGGCAAGAAGCTACTGTATGCTGGTGTCAGCCATCTCTAAGTTTCTTCCATTTCCAAACACTTTTAAAAGAAATATAATATTTTTATACCAGGGATCCCTGGACAGTTTTAGTAAAGCAAAGAATAGTAATAGCCCATTATCCTTTTTCCTCTTGCTCCCAACAAGCATAAGAAAGAGAAGTCCCTCCCACCCCCGGTTTGTAGTTTAGAATTTGCAGGAACAAAGTGTGTTGAAAGATGGAAGAACTCAGAACTAGTTGCTTTCAACATAAGCTCTAGATAAGAACTTATGTTCATCTGTCCATCTGTTTTTGGTGCATTCCATCTTAATGACAGGCAAAGTAGAGAACTAGTAGGGGTTGATCCCTTCTACTTATAGTTTCAAGGCAATTTTAAAGAGCTTGTTGTTCTAACACTGAAGTGTACACAAACTTCCACATCCAGCACATCCACCCTTAGGAAGACCCAACTTAGGACTACTCTAAGAGGGAGACTAATGTCACAGGAGCAGGGTTTGGAGTTGGACGGCCTAAGGCCCATATAAACCATAAGACTTTGGCTTGGCAGGTAATAAGAAGCACCTTAAGCTTTAGTTTCTCTGGAAGGTACTGTACCTCTCAGGATTGAGAATTTAAATTCAGCACCCTAAGTACATCAACCTGTCCATAACTGGCCTCCTGAGAAATCTTGTTCTCATATCCTGCAGAAAGAAGGAAGGAACCTGAATCTGTCCCAAGATGTTTTCCTGGGCACAACATGGTACATACAGATAAAGGGACCTAGCTTGAACCTAGGTTGAACTATTCTAAGCTAGTGAAGAGGAGATGTTAGGCTACCAAAACAACAACAACAACAACAACAACAACAACAACAACAACAACAACAACAAACTTACATATCTTCTATCACTACAGTTTTACATGATCTAAGGTTACAGAAACCCCCAAAGCACTGCACAAAACACCCAATCTCACTCTACCAAGGAATGGTTTACAACAGAGCTCACTACCCCTGCTGTGGCAGAAGCAGGCTAAGTCACCCTATGGCCTGTTTCCCTCCACACGTGACAGAGAAACAGGTGGGAGTTCCCAGGAGACTCATTGCAAATGTCAGGCAGTAAGGGGTAGGGGCTGTCGAGAGAGAGAGATGGGGGGGGGGGGGGGGGGGGGGACGGACGGACCCAGGCTTGCAGGAAAAGTCTTGGCGAGTGTAGGGGAAGCACCTGATGGATCTTGTGAGAGTCGGTGCTGGGCAGCCCAGAGAAGCACAGTGGGGATCCCAGCCCAGACCTGGAGGAGTCTGTCACTGCTGAGCAAACAGAGGGCAAGGAGCGAGAAGGAGCGGGAGCGGGGCGGGAGGTCGCTGAGGGGGGCGTTGCGGGGGAGAGGGGTGGAGCGAGTGGAACCCAAGCCCAGGCCCACTCACCACGAGCGGGATGGAGCAGATGAGCACCACCAGAGAGGTGGCGATGAGTAAGATGACCATCTGGATCTCCGCGCCTGCGATTCGGCGGAAACTCCGGCGGCGGCGAAAGTCGCTGAAGCGCTGCACTGCTGGGCAGGCACTGGCGTTGAGGCCATCGCGGCTGCGGCGGCGACCGCGTGGTGCTGCTCTGTGCCCAGCGAGGTGCGGCGCATGAACTGGCGGTGCATGCGGAGCAGCGCGCCGCACACCAGCACGTTGCAGAGCACGGTGGCGAGGATGAGAAAGGAGCTGAAGCCCGCGTACATGTAGGAGAAGGCGGCGTACGCCGTGACGTTCGTGGTCCAGTCGATGAAGCACCAGGTGTCCGGGTACTGCCTCCGCGAGCGGCCAAGGCCCATGTTGGGTAGCGCGCAGAAGAGCACGTTAGACGCGTAGACTGCGAAGAGGGTGAGGCCGGCCAGTCTCTTGTCCACGTAGTGGCTGTAGAAGTAGGCGTGGTTGATGGCCAGGTAGCGCTCTATACTCATGGCACAGATGATGCTGAGGCCGGACAGGCCGAAGAAGAGTAGGATGAAGGTGCTGTAGTCGCACAGCGCCTGGCCCCCGGGCCACTGGCCCTTCATGTAGGTGGCGATTGTCACGGGGCTCACCAGCAAGGTGCCCAGCAGGTCGGTGACAGCCAGCCCGCACACCAGCGTGTAGAAGGTCGTCTCCTTCTGCTCCTTGCGCGACTTGCAGAGCACCACGATGGCCACCAGGTTGCCCACCACCCCGAAGATGAACATCACCGCCGGGATGGTGACCGGGCTGTTCAGCTGGTCCGCGGCGAAGGAGGAAGACGTGTTGGCCCCAGCTGTGGACATGGTAGTGGCCCCCAATAATCGGCCCTGGAGTATAAGCCCGGGTCTAGAAATGGCAGAAAAGAAGAGCAGTGAGCGGAAATTACCACTTGCGAGGTGTTAGACCCGCTCCCAGAGCAGTACGCCGATGAGACAAGGGAAACAACTCAGTCTTATCTTTCGGAGTGTGGCTACTTACTAACTCGACTACCGAAAGCCCCTGGCTCCCGATACGCCCCGCAAACAACACCACTCTCTTGACATTAATATTTATAAGCTGATGACTGCCATTCCCTTCTTCCCCGATCCGGTTCACGCCACTGCCAAGATGAGGAGGACCCGTCGTCTCAAAAGTGACTCGCTGGTGTTATTCCCGACACATTCCGAGTCGACAAAATTCTCACTGAAAAGTTATGGACGGCAATTGGGAAGGCAGGCGCGCTCTCTCCTCTGCGGCGAGCCCGACCGCCGTGCTGTCTAGGGGCGACCCCACCAATCCCATCTTACCTGTGTCAGGCGCAGGGAGAGCAGCTCCGAGCCCCAAGGCCAGGCCTCAGATGTCCCGGCCCCGCGTCCAACCTGCCCGCAGCAGCGACCCGCTTAGTGTGGGTCTTGCCCAGACGTTGGCTTCTCGTCTCTGTGGCTGCCAATTTGCTGCAACTGGGGTCGTAGTGCCCAGTTTTCACAAACGTGGAGAGCGAGTTGGGCAGCGCGATGGGCAGTGAAGGCTGCCCTGGGTTTCTTGTTTGCCTTTTCCCCCCGACTTCAAAGGCGAGTCCAGCTTTGCGGGGTGGCAGATCCGGTCCCCGGGCGCAGCGCCCAGGGTTGCCGCCCGCGCGCAGGTA